GGTTAGTCAATTCTACTGAAAGAAATTTTAATAATGATACGGTTGATACAGCTTGTACTCGATTATCGTTTTTCAAAAGTAAATTTTAATTTCATTTGTTTAATAGATTTGTATGTATATAGAGAAGAAGGTAAATGGAAATCACAATGGAATTTATAAATTTAAGGGGCATAAATTATTTTGAAAATAAAATTCTTATCACTTTCCTTATCAATAAAAACAATATTTATGAAAATCCCAATAAATCCCATCAAAAACTCAAAACCCCGAGTTTCCCCTTGGCGAGGTGGGTGTTAGTACTCTCCCGGACCAAAATCCAAAATCCAAAAGGGGGGGAGGAGGTGCCCCCGTTCCCTAAAGCGGAAAACTGTAGTCTTCATAATAAGAATGGGTTCCCCCTTGGTCCGAAGTCTTTAACTTGAATTCCGGCCGAGTTACACTCAACTCAAAATGTGGGGGGGTGGGGGCTTTTGTTCCCTAATGTTGAAAATTCATCTGGGGCCTAAAAAATTGAGATGCCCATTGGTCCGGGGTCTCTAAGTCGAATACCGGCTAAGTTATGCTTCGTCAAAAATAATTACTCGTTTAATGGGTCCCCCCCCCCATTCCGCCCGACGGTCACCTCTACGCGCGTGACGACCGATGTTGGGTAGCCTACGCGAATGGAACCCGGTTGCCAGATGGTACGATCCTAGTGCCTAGTGGGGACATACGATAATATGAGAGGATGGAGGGGATATGTAAGCCGGCAGCCGAGCAGAGCCGAGCCGAGCCGAGCCGAGCAATTTTTCAGTGTTACGCTTTTCGGTGTTACGCTTTTTGGTGTTGCGATTTTTTTCCAGCGACTCCCATCCACCTAACGCCCCATAAGGAACTTCGTTCCAAAAAATATTAATTAATTAAATAATATTGACGTGGCCCGATTATAATATATAATATAACAACACTACCATGACAATATTTATTTATTTACGGACATGTACGCTTTCGCGTTCGTACGGCCGCCCGTTCGCTTTTTTTTTTGCTCACTACCCTGCGTAAAGAAGTATAACTTCAAAAAAAAAAATAAAAAAATAAATGAGTGAAAAAGAAATAAATGAATGAATGAATGAATAAAAAAAAGAAAAAAGATAACCAAAAGAAATGATAATAAAGATAAATGAAGATAACCAAATTACTTACGCCTTTGAATTTTTCTCCGTTAATGTGGCTTCCGATGGAACACATAGTTTTTTCCTCTTACTATGCTCTCTGCCCCGTTCTTCATTCATTGTTTCTGTTTTTTTAGTAGTTATAACTTCTATCTTAGAAGTTAATTCACTATTTTCAACACTTGATAGATCACTTTCACAATCCATTATTAATAAAATAATAATTTCATTTAAACAAGTCACATACCCACGTAGGCTACTAAACAGCTGATGCGCGCGAAAAGCTGACAATAACGTAAACGCACACTACTGCACGCATCGACTACGGCCGCCGGGAGGGGATATGTAAGCCGGCAGCCGAGCAGGCAGGCACGGCCTCCCCACTCTAAGTGTTACGCTTTTCGGTGTTACGCTTTTCGGTGTTGCGATTTTCGGTGTTGCGATTTTTTTCCAGCGACTCCCATCCACCTAACGCCCCATAAGGAACTTCGTTCCAATAAGAAATCAAATGGGACAAGAAACATTCAAACATTGCAATCCTGCGTGAAAAGTATTACAAAAGGAAACCCCAAAAACTCGATGAAGACACTGTGAATGAATTAATTATGTGTACGCACGTCAAAATCAACCCAGGATTAGTTTAATTTAATTTATAAAATTTATTAAATAAATAGCAATAATAATATTGATAAACATAATAAATATAATAGGTATATGACTTAAGCTCAAAAAGGAATATTATTAATAATATTACATTTTTTTTTTCAAAATTATGCATTTTTAAGAATTTATGTATCTATCTAATACCAATAAATCGAGCTTAATTATTTACCTTATATGGCTCAAAACGATATTTTTACTTTCCTTCATATTTTACTCATATAACATACCCCCTTGAAAATGTACGATACCCCCAAGGTAAAAGGTCAGCAATAAACACTGAATAATATGATGAATAAATATTTCAAGGAGGGACTTATTTATTTAATGAAGTTATTCAAATAAACAAAGTAAATAAATAGGTACTTAAATTTAGAAAAAAATTGTAGGTATTCAAAACTAAATACAAATTTTTTCATAGATATCACTACATTACCTAGATTTTTAACAACATAAATAGTGTCGATACTGAAATATTTTATAAATAGAAAATATATGAGTACTTGTAAGTTATGGAAAATTTCGTTTTTACGAGGATAGTACATAACAATAATAGTAAAAATTCATTTGTCAACAGTTAGAGAAGTTAATATTTAATCGAACTGTTTATTGCACTACAACGTATTTACATAATAATATTTTAATTAGCGATTTAGCTATAGATATACTAATGTATTAGCTTAAGTAGGTTTCACGTATTGACAATCAATAGAAAGTTAACGTACTACGTAGTTTACATTTTTTTTTATATTTTAAAACCGATACTTACAATGTGCGCATATTATTATATATTATATTATATTATTATATTATTATTATATGGTAAATAATAGTATATAATATGTGTATTTACTTTTTTTTTTTTTTACTAATTTAATTATTATCTTTATTTTATTTTATTTATATCCATATACATATTAAACCTTATAAGCTATGTACAATTGAATTGAACAGTACTGTGTCGTAAGGCTCGCTATATTTATATTTATATTAACAAAGTTGTTTAATGTTTATATACCTATTATATATATAGTTGTTACTTGTTAGTAGGTACTAGGTACCTAAATAATTTAACATTAATTATTATAAGTAAATTACTTGAATAGAAAAAAGTATTAAGTTTTAATAATATTAAAATCAATTATGTACTGACTTCTTCCTTTTTATTTTTGACAACTAGTTTTTGTTTTATTGTGATAATAATATTATACCTACTCATTGGTTAGATTCAACGAATTTGTTCTGCCAGACGACCTTCGAAATATCCTAGTAATTAGGCATTAAATTAATAATGCAATAACTAATAATAATTAACTTACTGCACGTCAAGGAACATTTTTAAAGAATGCCAATAAGTACCTACTAGTATGGCGATAAATATTTCTTATATCAATCAATAAGCTCCCATTTGGTTCTTTAATTTTTTCATTAGTTGTCGAGGTAGTTGTATTTCAATCGGGAAATCATAATATTTATCGACCAACAATGATTATTTTTATGAATGACTGATGGGTGTTAAGTTGCCCAATAAACTATAACATTGTGAACAATAGTAACAAGTGAACAATATTATTGACTTTGCTATACAAACATACAAACACATTTCCATAACAGTGCTATACTCGTATAACTGTTTCATGTTTGTCCAGCACTCTACCAAAGATAGAGTAGATTGGACAGAACCCAAAAAACCGACCGAAAGTGTAATTTTTTTTTAGGGGGGGGAGGGCATTTAAAAAGAATATTCCTTTGGAACTTTTCAAAGACACCTTACAGTGGAAGCACGTGTCAAAAGAGACAATTTCCACTCGAAAAGAATAATGCAGAGCATGCTTGCCAAACGCTGAAATCGAGCAGACAACGAGCTCCGTGAACATGACGCAATCGTCCGACTAATCTGACCACCGATCAGTATTTAATAAATAATAAGGTATCGGTAGGATAAATAAACAAACGAGTTTCGACCGATTAAAAACGGGAGAAGGGGTGAAACGTCATTCATTGAACTTGTAGTCAGTCGTTGTGGAAATGAAAAAATCGACTCGCAAAAGATCAACAAATTAACTCGTTTTATAATATAACAATCGCGTCCCACATTCTTTGGGGAAAACAACACAAAAAACCATGACTGCGGGATAAAACGATGATAAAATACAAGTATTCGTCAGTGATTATAATTATTAAATAATATTATAAAAAACATATTTTAATGATTTCGATATTTAATCTCCAGCTTAATGTTCCAATGTATGTTCCTATACAGTATACTTACAATATAGTACAGAATGAAGAATTTTCAACAAAAAAAATTAATTATATTCATCATAATCAGTGGTGGGTATTATGTAAGTAATAATGTTAATGTCGATAAATCCTAATCCGACGAAAGCGGGGTCGACGGCGGCGCTTAAAATTTTACGCAACGTTTATTGTTCCAAAGGGTGGGAGCGGCGCGGCGGTGGCGTAGGCAGTTTTGTCGGGGGGGTTGGGGTGCGGGGTGAATGAAAAACCCGTGTGGTGTACGTGCAGCTAGTCACGTACGCCAGTCGGCGGCGAACGGTACACGCGCACGCGGGGAGGCGCGGGGTGAGAAGCAGAAGAAGTAACCAAAGAAGAAGAACCAAGAAGCGAAGTGAAAAAGAATCCGGTAGCCGCCGCGGTCGGGAAATAGGGAAAGGTCATGTACGCCGGGCGTGTGGCGTACGTGACGACCGGTGTTCGGTCTATGGCCGATCACGTGCGAAAAAAATAATTCTGTAGGCAAGAATAATTTACGCATACATTATCCATGAGCGCGAGACGGCCTATAGAGTATAGACGTGTGTGTGCGTCGCTACAACTGCACGCACATGTCTATTATAATCGTTATGCTTGTTAATGATTTAATGATCATAGATACACCGTGCAATAATTACGTACCCGCGATACTATTAACGATAAAAATACAATAATATGCCAATATGCGACTTGTGAGCGAACAAGTAGGCACATGAATTAATGATAGTCATTGATTATAAACGTATAAATACTACTATATAGTAATATAGTATAGTAATAGTAGGATTTATAAACAATGATATTAGAGGTACACATAATGATGACACATATATGTTATTGTTAAAATATAGGCAATAATATTATAATATTATACCAATAATAATATTATTATTATAGGTAGGTACGACTTACCCCATGCTCGAACCGTGCCGGTGGCCAAAACGACCGAAACCAATGCGAATGTATACTTTAGGAAACTCATCGCGTGTGCGAGTAGGTAGGTATGTATAATCAATTATACGATATTGTGTTATATAATAATGTGCTTTCGGAGTAGCGTTATAAAAATATTAAGTTATTGTGTGTTAGTCTCGACAGTAAAAAGGTAATTATTACAAATACAATATAAGTAATAACATTAGTAGTACATCCAAAATACAAAAATATGGACTATAAATAACTGTTGAGAGCACAGTATCGAGTTAAATGTGACGGGTGAGAGCGTGGAAAAAATTACGGAACATTTGAAATTGCCGCGTGCAGTCGACACGCGCTCCTCCGGGATGCGGCGGACGGCGGCGGCGGTATACTGAGACACGACTGAGCTCAGTCTGATCGGCGGCGGTCGGTCGTGAGTCGAGTTATTAATATTTTCGACTCTACGTCGGCGTGCGTGTGCGAACCGTGAACGAGTACTGCGTTGCTGCTGCGCGCGCGCGTGTGCAGTGCGAGTAGGCGGCTGTACTGAGTGTTTGTGCGTGCGACCGAGGGAGACGGTTAGACGGTGCCGAGTGACAGGCCAGCGCGAAGCGAGTCCGGTAAGGCGTGCGGCGGCGCAACTTGACGTGCGCGCGCCGGTCAGTTTTTTATCAACCGTCCCGCGTCCGCCGCCAATAATTGTTTTTCTAATAATAATTATTATTATTATTATTATTTTATCATTATGTGTTTGTACTTTTTCGTTTGTCCCTCAACGCTGTAGGAAACGACATCAGTCATCACAACTTTACCGGCCGAGTGCCGATCACCCTCCGCCGATCACCACGCTAGAGCTTTTACAAGAATTCAACGACGACCCCGCGCGCCGCGCTCGTTTCGCGATATCTACCACAGAGTACCGCCTCGCCACGGCGCTACGGCCCCCTCCGCGAGACGGTCAACACGTTCGCGGGTTTTTTTCCGATCAACGACAACGGTCAACGACACGCGTGGTACCGCCGGCGACTGGCGCACGTGCGCTTTCCGTGAACTCGACGATTCGATACAAAATATTTCAATGTGCGTTGTACAAAATTGTGTGAGTGTGTTGCACTCAAATTTTTCGGATACTTGTATAATAATTAATTACTATTATTAGTTATTACTACTATCGCTCAGATTGTGCTGAATTATTAAAATATAATTTTAATATTAGATTTAAAATGCGACGCCAACGTCGCAGTATTCGGTTATGGTAAATCCCGTTTTTGGTAGGTATTTAATATTTATCATGAACACGATACTCTCTTACTCGTTTGTTGGATAAATTAAAAAATTTTTTTTTATAATATATTTCTTTTTTTTATATTGCCATGATGTTCTTAGCAGATATAGTAATCGGCCGTATTTTTCTGCTATTATTCAGTAGACTGCATCCGAGTTGGTTCCCATGATCCCATACCTGAATATTGACATCCGAATTGGTTCCCGTTATTCAAAGCTGCACATATCTGAATTTAATCTAGGTCAAAATATCCACAGACAAACATATCTAATTTTAAAAAGGTGGGCAAGTGGGTGTCGCTCTGCTGTACAGTAGGTTACAAGTGGGTCACTGTATAATGGATGATATTAAATTTGAATTCAACGATATAATATCATTGTATAAGAAAAACGATTCTGAGCGCAGACGGTATGTCAGTCTATGTATAAGACATATTAATTATTATATACATATCTATTATCTATGGTATTAAACAAAAAATTGACCTATAATGGGTACCTATAATAAATTCCAAATTAATCATATCAAAATATCCATTAGGTACTTATAACGCGTTATACATCAACAAAAACCGTGATACTATCATAGATATATAATAGTACACTTTAGAAGTTTCAAGTATCCACAAATAATATTATTCAATCACAACAAAATAACTAAAATAGTTATTCTAGGTTTTTTAATATGTAATTTCGTCCAAATTTGAATTTAAAATGTCTGTAAAAAATAACTGTGTTCATATATTTTTTAGATTTTTTGGTTACAGTATGAACTATTTACGAGAACCTTTGTGTTGAATTTGCAATCCTTAGCTATAAAAACTGAACATTTTATAATTTATTAATTACAATGATTGATAATTTTCGAGATTTTGATAAATTTTGTCAAAATTTGATCTTTAAATGCTTATAAAAAAAAACTGTGTCTATGTATTTTTAATATTTTTAAACTGATATTATAACAATATATCAGGAGCCTTGTATTAAATTTTTACACTTTTTGGCCCAACAGATAAAACTTTATTGATATTTATAGAAAAAAAAACTAAAAAAAATTGAAAGCTGTAAATGTCCATAAACAGCTCAAAAAGAGTCAAAATATTTTCAAAATTGTATGGTGTATAGAAAATGCTAATTTAAACATTCAGTGAAATTTTCATGTATCTACAGTTATTTGTTTTTGAATTACAACAAAATAAGGAAATCGCTACATGGGAAATCGAGTGAATATTCAATGTTGTAAAAATTTGAATTTCAAACGCTCATAAAAATTTAATTTGACTTTCTTATAAACATTTTTCTTTTGATAAAGGTAGACAAACTTATAAGGAATCTTGTGTTTAATTTTCAAATCTTAGATTTAAAAAGAAAAATTTTTACGAATTCTTAACTCAAAATAATTTGCTAATTTTCGTGATTTTCCCATATTTTGTCAATTTTTGAACTTTAAATGCTTATAAAAAAAAATTGTGACTAAGGATTTTTAATATTTTTCATCTGCCTTTGAAGCAATATATTAGGAGCCTTGTATTAAATTTTCAAGCTTTCGCAACCAACAAATAAAATTTTATTGATATTTTTAGAAAAAAAACTAAAAAAAAATGGAAAATGAAAATGTCCCTAAACAGTTCAAAATAAATCAAAATATTTTGAAAATGTTATCGTGTATAGAAAATGCAAATATAAACAACCAGTGAAAATTTCATGTATATACGTTCATTTGTTTCAGAGTTACACCAAAAACCAAAATCGATTTTTTGGAAAACCAATTTTGCGTAAAAATTCCCGTTTTTCCTTAATTTTTATGTTGTTTTTCCCGGCGCTTGTGAAAACTACTGGGAAATTTATACGTTTGACCCCCCAAAGTACCAACTAGATTCACTTTCCTATCAGAAAAGCTACTGATGAAGAAAATCCAAGCACTTTTACTGTCCTAAAACGTGATGACAGACACAAAAAAAAAATAAAAAAATTAAAAAAATAAAAAAAAAAATAAAAAAACACACATCATTGTAAAATCAATACATTCATCGTTTCACTCAGAATCTAAAATGTAGTAAAACCTTTTTATAAATAAAATGTTGAAATGTAAAATAATAAAATTATTATACGTAGATTGGTAGATAATATATACTTAATTTTTAATAAAAATTAGTTCAAATATTTTCTAATAAAATTAGCTCAAATATATTAACTCATAATATTGCAAGCATAGAAAAATTTTTTAGAAATTATATAAAGGTGTACACAGTCACACAGATTTTGTTTTTGTAGTACATAAAGTGAACTACATAGAAGCTCATGTATATTGAGCTTTTAGCTCATAGCAGTAGTAAAGGATGTTGTATACGAAATAGACAATAATGAAATTATTAAAATACTCAGGTCTAAAAGCACACTATTATTATTTATTGCATAAGATTTTTAATTAACATAAAAATATTTTAACATTAATAGTTAAAATTATTCACTATTGTGTTATATATAGGTACTTAGGTCTTGGAATATTATCAACGTGTAAACAACTATGGTAAACATAAGCTGTTCAAAGGTTGTATCGATGAATATAATAATACAATTGGTAAATGAGTAAGTAGGCGGGTACTTTTGTATTCTCCGGGGCCTAAATTGCCCCACCCCTTTTCCAGTTTCCACCACATAGCTTTCAACACAAATTTAAAGTTCAGCTATGATAAATAAATAAAAGTCGCTCTGCTGTACAGTAGGTTACAAGTGGGTCACTGTAATGGATGGTGTTAAATTTGAATTCCATGATATAATATCATTGTATAAGAAAAACGATTCTGAGCGAAAACGATCAGTCAGCCTATGATATTACGAAGTATATTTAATGATATTAAGGTGAATAAAGCAATTTATATAATATATAATATAACCTATTTATGTGGAATCTCGTTTTAAATTTTCAATCCTTAGCTATAAAAGTTGAACATCTTATACATTTTTAACTACAAAATAATTATTAAATTTTAAATGTGATAAATTATGTCAACATTTGAACTTTAAATGCTTTTAAAAAAAATGTTGCCTATGTATTTTTAATTTTTTTCAACTGCTATTGTTACAATAGGTATACGTATCAGGAGCTTTGCATAAAATTTTCGTACTTTTTTACCCAGCAAAAAAAATTTTATTGATATTTACAGAAAGAAAAACTAAAAAAATTGAAAACTGAAAATGTCCTTAAACTGCACAAAAAGAGTCAAAATATTTTGAAAATTGTACGGTGTATAGAAAATGCTAATATAAACATTCGGTGAAATTTTCAAGTATCTACAGTCATTCTTTTTTTAATTACAACAAAATAAGAAAATCGTTACATGATAAATCGAGTGAATATCAAATGTTGTAAACATATGGATTTCAAACTCTCATAAAAATTAAATTTGAGTTTCATGTAGACATTTTTTTTTTTGATAAAGGTAGACAAACTTACGAGGAATCTTGTATTACATATTCAAATCTTAGATTTAAAAAGAAAATTTTTTATGAATATACTACCGGAAAAATTTTACTTTTGACCCCCCAAAGTACCAACTAGATTCACTTTCCTTTCAGAAAAGATACTGTTGAAAAAAATCTTAGTATTTTTACTTTCCTAAAAAGAGATGACAGACACAAAAAATAAAAAAATAAAAAAAATACACATTGTAAAATCAATACATTTATCGTTTCACTCAAAATCTTAAAAATATATATAAGATTTAACAATATACAGTAAAACTCACTTAAGCCGCTCTTTAAGGGACCAGCTCTCTA